AGTTGCAAACTGCCCAGAAAATTTTCACACAAGTGTGCGTGATAAGCAAAACAAATTTCTGCATATATCTGTCTCTATCTATATACATACACGTGCACATGCATATATATACAACTATAGATGGATAAAATCTCCCCCAAAGCAACATGCATAAACACAGTTTCAGATCCTTAGGAAAAATAATATATTCTGGCTAGGAGATGAGACAGAGACTTTTCTCTTCCCTACATCAAAACCATCAAAACTAAAAGATATCACACTTACAGATACTTTAGTATCCAAGCTTCTTCTAGAGAAGAATGAGAAAAAAAAATCTTTGGCTCTTTAGTCTGCACATTTCTATATTTTCTCATGTAGACTGTTGCATAAACTCAAAAAACTGTCTCGGCCATATGTTTCTTACAGCCACTCCTTGGAAACCATGTAAATGTCTCTAATAAGCAGCTTGCTTAAATGTACATAGCTGCAGGACAGATAAGTCATGAGCCTGATGACATTCCAAAGTTCCAGGCTAATAACTTAGAGCATCACAAATTCCTTCCCTTTGCACCAAACAACAAGGGAGAAGGACAGGATGCTTGCTCTTTCTAGACTATGTGGGCTTTGAGAAAAGCAGACATGCCTTTACACTGGTAGTGTGAGCAGCAGTGCAACACTGAAACTGTGAAGAAACTGGAAGCGGTTTAGTAATCACTACTGCATTGGATTTCTGACACATCAGACATTAAGAAAGACATTCTTGGATCCTGTATTCTGTCTGGCAATCAGGAAAGTCACCATTCATGGTCTTCCAAGAGTTACATCCTCCCAGTTGTCCCCAGCATACCTTGAAGACCTTTCCCCACCAGGTTAGTCCATGCCCGGAATTCTCATTCCGCTATATTCAGATGCAACGTTCTTCCTTAAGACATTTTTGGGAACTTACTTGTGGTCAGACACCTTTTTTTTCCTTTTTTTTTTTCTTTATTTTTTTTTTTAATACGTTTCTGTGCTACAACTACAGTTCAGCAGTCAGAGCATTTGATCCAATTTATATCACCTGCCTATAAATAGATTGATGGTCCTCTGCAGAAACAACTTTTAGTCTTGTAAAGTACTGCAGATATTCTCCATGAATAACACAGAAACCACATAAGCTTCAGAAAAGATTCAAGGTAATCTACTTTGTGTTTTCTCATGCACTCCATACCAAAAAGTACAGAGCACAAGGTCCCTGCCTTAGGGAGAAAGCTTATCTTTCCTTGATGTTAGGCTGTGCCATGGGGACAGAGTGTAAGGAGTAAAAAACAAACAGAAATGCATGGCGGTAGAAAAGTCCTCTTTTAACGCTCAGTTCACCACTTTTTCTTCTCCTCTATGCACTGTGGATCTTTGAAGTTGAGGAAAGGAGCAAAACGGCCCAAATTCCCACAAGAGAAAGAAAAGCTATGGACAGACTCTCCCCTGCAGCTAATATAGTAAGCTAAGTGCCCGAGCATTACAATCGGAGTTTATAGTAGGTGGATACCTTTCCTAGTGACTACAAACACTGCTGTTAACTACAGGTTTCATGTCAGAATCACCAAGTCCGTGAGAAACAACCTATTGACTTGCTAGTAAAATAATCCTCAGCTCCCCATCTATTACTATCTTCCTGACTAATGCTGGATCATGAATCATCACCAGGTGAAATTATCTACCTCCTCTTTCGTACAGGTAGTTATCACCATAACATCTGAAATCTTCCCACCATTACCGGTCTCCACAGATCTGACCTTCAAATGGCACCTTCTCTTTCAGACTGACACACAAAACTATCGGGTGATAGGTGGTTACGGTCCCTGAAAAGTCATTTATTTTCACTACCATGCTGTGGCACTAACAGCGTGTATAGACAAGAGATTTTGTTACTGCCGTTTTCTTCTAGGGTGTCATTCATCCCAGCCAAGCATGTTTCTCCTTGAGTTTCAGCCTTTGTCCTATTGAAGCTCCTCTACCTTAGATAGTAACCACACTACTGATTTGGCAAGAACGATCAGGCAGTCTGAGATGGTCTATGGCCCTTCTGGCACAGCTGCCTTCTCCTTTGCATCATGGAAAAGCCACTCTGGGCTCAAGGAACACTTTGCTAGCAGCAAATTGAATCATTTCCATGTAAAAAGAGTTGGAGCTCTTTTTAAGCAGCTCCACATTCACTGTGGGTTCTGTCACTTTTCTTCCCAAGTCACAGTCAATCAATGCAGTTGCCAGCAAAACTGAAGCCTTCTCTGGAAGGACAACAGCAGCTCAACAGTTGAAGGTGTGTAGGTGGGATCACTGTCATTTTGCTTGCTCTGTGCCTGCTTATTACATAAGGACACATTTTGTTCTCTGTCAGGGCTACAAAACTCTCCACTTGCACCCCAGCTACTGAAGACTTGGAATGCTCCCTTTCCCACAACTGTCATGAGCACATGTGCTTTATGCAGCCCACAGCTCCGAAGCAGCTGCCACACATGGACTCTTCATCCAGAAAGCCACCCCATTAACTCCATAGCTGTGAAAAGGCTACAGACACACAGTTCGCTCCAAACATACTGAAGTGAAGCACCACGCTTAGCGCCCTGATTTAACTAGACAACCGTTTAACACCCATACTGAGGGGAAAAAAGGGTATCCCTGGCTTCCCAGTGCTATTCTGAATACCTGCCAACAACTCCATCCAGCATGTGTGACGGCATGGTTGGCGGCAGACGCTGCACCACTGAAATCCTATCAGGGCAATGCACACACGGTTGGTTGGATAACACCACATTCACACAGCAGCATGTACATATGGAGATGAAGAAGCAACTCCCACTGCACTTTCTATAAACCACAAGCAAAGAGAACCTGAACTATCCACTTATTATTTACACCACCTTGCTTCTTGTTGGACAAGTATTGTCATTACTATTAAGTACACATATTGCAGTAAAGCCCAATGGCTCTCTCTAAATGAAGCTGACACTTAATTCTCAGTGTAAGTTAATGACATTCATTACAGCTTGCTCTTACCTTCCAATTTGCCTTCACAGCTCTCATCTGCATGCTTTTTCCATAATGTATGCCCCAAAGGAGCAAGTTCAGCACCCATAACTTTCCTATCTGTGCCTGTATTTCATGGTACATTTAAATTTTTTCCAATTCTAGGTCAGCCCAGATGTGCTGGCACTAATGCAAAAGAGTGAAGTCTTTGACCTGAGTTACAGAAGCAGTCAAATATACTGCCCAAATGTGCTAGCTCTAACAGTAATACAGTTTTATTTTTATTCCAAGATTCCACGGTCTTTCCCACAAGTTAAGCAGACAAGTATAACATTACCAGCTACAACCCTTGTAGAAAACAAATAAAAAAAAGGTTGTTCTTCACTGATCCCAAAAATCAGTAACTCTAGACCACCAGGTGCTAGTAACAGGATGACTAGGTTTATCCATAATCTCACCCTGCCTGGCTTTATTAAATATTTAGTAGGGTGGATTTTAGCTGTACCAAGGAAAGGACTATAAGCATTCTGACAGTTAAATTCCTCTGTTTATTAAAGCACAATCATCTTTAGACAATTTATCTTTCTTCTTCTAAAACAAAAAAAGGACTCCGGTTCTCTGAGCTACAGAGACAAAATGTTTAACATTTTGTTTTACAAAAACATTTTGGTTTACATTTTTTAACATTTAACTCTCTAATTTCTCTCCTATTCAGTCCTTAGTTGAAAGTAAATACCAGTTGCTACTTGCACCATATTTCAGCTATGGTTTGGCTTTGGAAAAAAAAAAGCCCTAATATATTATTTATTCAGGACCATATTATGAGCCTTCCTGTATGTCTCCACAGGAATATAAAGTTTAAAGAAAATACTTGGGAAATCTACAAAAGGAAAAAGGAAAGGAAAAAATATATATGAAATATATTTAGTAAATCTGCACAAATGATACAACAGTATATTCCACAAATTGTTTTTTTTTTATAGACATTCTCCCTCCCACCCCCCCCGGCTGGTCTGCAATGTTTTTCTGATTTCTTTACTTGCAATTTCTTAAAGAAATAATTTAAGAATTGTTATGAATAAAAAAAAAAACAACTTGGAAAACAAGATTAACTAAGGTTTGCTTTCCAGCTTAAATAGGCTTCCTCTATTTCTGCTGACATTTCTACCTAAAACTTCTTTCCCAGCTAAGAAGTGTAACTAGAGTTTTAAGCCATCAATAAAACAACTACTTGACCAACAGGGTGTAATAAAGCCAATACTTGTTTATGGCCTCAGCAATATTTGCCAAGGCTCTTGATTTGAAGCATGTAAAATTTGCCTTAAAGGCAGGACCTTCCACATCAAAGGAACAACATCCAGCAGTGCTAGAGGGCTGAGTCTTGGAATTAATGAGTCTTTTAAATACACTAGTGTTATTCTTTGTGTTTTCTTACGAATTCAATGTCTATCAGTCCTCCTTTAAGAAAAACATGTAAATATTTTAAGTGGATTTAATTTTCCATCCTCTTTCAATGCAGATTAAGTATTAATATGTTAAATCCAGCTGGCATGGAAATGTAACACAGATACTAAAAATAATGGAGTCTAAGTAGAAAAACAAACTTTATACAGATAACTAGTTTGAGGAACAGCTGGGTACTGGGAAAGATTCCTTTGAATTAAACCCTGGCAGGTGAAAAATAACTTCCTAAAGAAAGTGTAGAAGCCTTTAGCTTCTCTGAGCTCAGTGCACCAAAGGAAACAGACTAGTAAAAGGAGACAAGCCTGGGATGAGAAAAAAATAAAGGGTTTAGCAACCCAACTGGCTTTTAACTTTGCTTCTCCATCTCAGATCTCTGTCTGGTTGTATAGCTAAACATTGTGCTATATAGACAGCTTTCTGGCCTAACATCAGGCAATTTGTCTCAAATTATAATTTTCTACCTCTCTACAAAAATAACCGCGAAGAACAAAGGGAAAAACTGATGAGGACACAGGCTTAACAAGACTCAAGAAGAGAATGCACATCCTTACATGCTCTCACAGAACTTTGTAAGAGTGCTGGGCTTTTCCTGGTTGCGTCTTTGTCGAAACCAACGTTGAATGCTGCGTACATCCCAGTCCAACTGCTTGGAGAGGCCCTCCAGCCTCTTCTCATCTGGATGCTACAGAAAAGAGAAGGATAAAAATTATTTCCTTGCCCAACTGCAGTAATGGCACTTTAAATTCAGAACCACTGTAATCGCCTCTCGATGTCTTAGAGGCTGCCTGTCAGACACATGGATACATAGAAATAAAATCAATTTCACAGAAATCTGCTGGCAGATCCACATCAAAATACATTTACAGTGACTATTATTAATATAGAAGGACATATGCTGTAATATTGCATGCAGGTTATTACTAATAAGAAACTTAAAGGGGACAATGGGATGAAAACATGCTTGAAACATGGAAAGTGATGATAAGCAGGGATAAAACGCCATGCATTTCTCAAGCAGCAGGGCTTACAAACACCCCTCTGCCTGCCACATGCTATGCCTGTTCCATCCTCCTGAATCAGGATCTTTGGCCTATCGACTGTTGCCCTAGTGAAGATTGTTTAACTGACATGGAAAGAAGATTATCCCATGTTTGTGCATGTTAATGTTAAAAAAAAAAAGAGGACATTAAACAAAGTGACAACTTCAAAAGGAAAATCAACCTTGACAACAAGGATAGAGAATTTTTCTTCTGTAAAATTAGCTACACAGAACTATTCTCCAAAGCAGCAAACGTAGAACTCTTATTCCATCAGAGCGCCTGCAAACCAGTGCAGAGGTAAGGCAAAAGAAAATGAGTTGGTCCTTAATTTGACTACTATATGGATAGAAGAGCAGTACGGGGCCACATTTCCAATCGTGCAGCAATTCTACATGTACAGAACTGCATGAGGACTATTCATATATTTCTCCTGATCACATTCTTTTTTAAAGAAACAGGAAAAGGTCAGTTACACATATAAGATACAAGAGCTGCTACAATAAAGACTTTTTAAAATGTAAGAGGTAAAACAGCAAAACTTTTATCAGGATGAAGTTTCATCTATCATCCTCCAGGAAAAGACAGGAAGGAAAGGGAAGGGAAAGGATGAGACAAGAAAAGGGTGAAGTATTGGCCCTCCATCTCAAAAAAAAAAAAAAAAGTTTTTAGTCAACCAAATTAGCCACTAGTTTTTCAATGAAAAGTTAAGAAAATCCATTCTCTGTAACTTCAGAAAAATCAAATGATTGATGCAGTTCTTCATAGCTTGATTAGAGAGAACTGTTGCATATGACTCAAAAAAGGTAGGTAGCTAAAAAGGACAGTTTCTTTGAGAGCAGCTACCAGACAGCCATAGCAAACTCTTTCAGGAAAGTAGATACTTTCCTTTGGAGCTCTTCCCACTTGTCTCTGTGTACTGGGAGCCCTGTGTGCCAGCTCCTACCATGAGTCACAGGCATCACTTCACACACTCAGGCCCTGCGTTGGACTAGCAGATTCTGCAAGGAAAAATAACAACAAAAAATATCCCATTCTTCCTCCAGCTGAGTCTGGGTGAGAGCTCATGTGCCGCAGCTTTTAGAAACAAGGTATGTGTGATTCCCTCTCTGAAAACAGGACAAAAACCACACCAAGTGCCATGGTGATCTCAGGATAGGGTAAGACATACAAGCAAGACAGATCCATGACATATTTCATTGTCCCTGACACTGAACCCAATTTTGCCCCCTATGACTAACGCTCTTGGAAGTTGAGGCTGATGCCTTTGCTGTAGTGTGCCCAGCTGCAGCCTGGAGCTGAGGTGGGACTGGAAGTTTCTGCAGCACAGTGGCTTCATCCTCCAGGCCTCCACAGGCCTTTCCACTACCAAATGGCTGACCGCCGAGGTCTTCAGGAGATGCTAAAGGACACATGACCACTGGTCACTGCTACAGGAAAGTTCGGGATGCTTCAGAAGCATGGATGGGATGACACAGAGGTTTAGTTGAGGTGCCAGCCATACAGTGAGAGCTGTAGAGACAGAGACATTAAGTGGTGGGGGAAAAAAATCTGCAAGCTCTTCAACATTATTCTAAGGACATTCATCACACCAACAGCTGAGGCACCAGCAAGCCACCAGTGCCCTGTGCTCAGGCAGTTCCCCTAGAAGGAATAGCTTTGAAGTTTCATGGAAAACAAAGACGACCAGTCTTACTGGCTCACAATTTTGCTGCTTTCTAGAAAAAAATAAATAAATATGATTTTGTGTAAATTTCTAAAAGATAAGGAAAAAAAAGTGTGTGTCCATATGGCACCTACAAAGTGCTTCTGTAACAACTTTTTTTGACTAAAAGCTTACAGGAGACGTCACGAAGGGATGCACAGCTGCTCAAGCTGGCATGCCAGTGGCAGCCTTGACATTTGCATGTTCTGATTTTAGCTGTAAAATACAGCGCTACATTTCTTCAGACATAGTTGATCATGCCATATCCATTTTATAAGGTAAATATTTTAGTAAAATACTCTACCTTTGTAATAGCTGTGAAAACTTTTTCCAGGATAGCATTAGGTTGAGCTTTCTGTGGTCCATTGGCTTGGACTTTAAGGCCTAAGGCACATGGTTTAGCAATGAACCTGTGAGAAACAGAAGAGGAAAAAAGAAAAGTTAAATCCTTCAGTTATTTATTTCATTGCTGCTATCAATCAATGGCATGTGGTAAATGCACAGACATTACAACCCTGCCAGCAAAAACAATACTTAGCCTTATAGCTCAAAAAGCAAGCTCATACAGGTGATTATTGCAAAATAAGTAATATCACTTTGAGGGATGAAAGAAACTCCGTGGAGCAGATGAAACTGAGGATTTTCTTTCATGTTGTGAAAAAAAGAGACAGAAAAAGAGCATGAGAGGAATGCCTCCTAGAGAAGTACCAATGAATGAAAAGAGCAGGGCAGCTTGCAAAGAGAAGGAGAGCACAATATTCTTCTCCAGAGTTTTTTCATAAATCAGTTTCCAGAGTAGCTGCTGCCTCAGGACTCCTTTTGCACAGTGGCAATTCAAAGTCCTTAAATGCATCAAGCACTGAAGCTTCCCAGTCAATACAATTTTCTAAACCATGAACTGTAAACAGTATTGAGCCATGCCTCAAAGACCTTGTTCTCCCTCCAAACTCTTCTGCTAAAAAATGAAGCTGTCACAGATCCAAAAACCAATCCATAAGTTCATCCAGTTTATAAACTGGGTGTCTCTGATACATTTTAGAGATGAATTACATAACCTACATTACATACACTTAAAGAAGACAATTTCACTGGTTAAAAACTAAATTATTTGTATCTGTGAGTACAACTCTGGAACCCACAAGGAAAGTACAAAGTCTGTACAGGAATCACATTCATATGACCAGTATGAACTTTTGCCATCTTTGAACTATGTAACTCTTGATTTCACTTAAAAGACTTCCGTTTCCTAAGACTTCATTTGCCAGCAGGGACCAAAACAATACACTCAGTAGTCGAGTAGTTCCACATTCATCCAGCTGAATGACCACAAGTTCTTAAAAATCATGGAATTCTTATCCACATGCAAGCCCCATTTTAAACACTGTTTGAGCTACAACTGCTGTTTCTGCTATGTTTAAGAGAGCACAGCTGATTAAAAAGAATTAAGTCCTAAGCAATGCTATGGTGGTTACAGCAATAGCACTTGGTAGAGAAAGATGGGTCATGCCAGACCACCTTGTTTTCCTTGTTTCTCCAAGAAAAAATTCTTGATGAGTTGAAATGCATATGAAGGCAAATACTATAGCCTGGAACCATTTTAGTGACTATTTGTGAGGGGGGTGGGAAGTCACATATCCAAATACACATCAGTGAACTCACTCTTTGATCCTTATATGTCATAAGAAAAAAAAAAAAATCTTATTACACTCTGTAAAAGTTTTACTGCAATCTGGATCAGCTGCAGATTGCAACCATACTGCTAGCTCCCTGGCATCAGCCAAACCAATGACACTGCATCAGGTGTAAATTCCCAGCTTTAGGGTTAAGAGCTTTGATGATTCTAGTTTCACTGCTGAGCATAAGCAGAAAGCAGTCCAGTTTTCTGCTCATGAAACAGCAGCATATAAACTCTGTACGTGTTACACGTAAATACCATGTCATCTAGCTACACTGGAAATTTCTATATTACATAACGTATAAGGAGACAAAAGAAGCAGTGAGAATTGTATCCTCTAGTTTAACACAGACTTGCAAAATCAGTCTCCTCTGAAGTAAGACTTGATTTGGTTTTTTTTGTTGTTGTTTGTTTCTTTGGGGGTTGTGTTTCTTTGGGTTTTTTTGGGGGGTTGTGTTTCTTTGTTTGGTTGTTTTTTTAAATACATCTTTCAACTTCTGTTTTGCTTTTCTCCTTCTGCTGAGTGAAGGAATGGGATAGCCATGATACAACTCCAATAGAAAGGCAGTTCCCTAAACATGCTAATTTAAAAGAAAAAAAAATTAAATTTGATAAAGTCAAATGCAGATTAAAAAGTCTAAAACAAAACACATTTTACGCTTCAATTTGGTATTTTCTAAAGAGGAATTTAAATTTTTCTTCCTTTGCTGCTTATGTTTTTCACATGCACTGGAGGAATGGGCACATGACCTGAACCAGAGCTTGTCCACAAGGACAGCACAGCGCAGTAAGGACATGTACAGGGTGCACAGCTGCAAGACACAGGATGATCTTGGCCAGCTATGTCTGGGAGTAAGGGATAGAGAAGGTCAAAAAAAAAAACCAAACACAAAACACAAAGGTCTCTCTCCTGATATACTCTTGTGGTCTTTCTCCATTTTTGAAAAAAGCTTTAAAAAAAAAAAAATCCCCTCAGGGTATCATTAATTCCTAGTAGGCCACTCAAGGGAAATAAAGCAATTTTAACATAAACATTTTATGCCTGCAATACTGAGCAGGTCTGGCCACCAACTCAGGTGTGCTTGAGCCATGTCCATGTGATTGCCTTCGGTGCAACTGGTAAAATTTAAGAGAGATTTTTTACTTTCCATACAAAAATGTAATGAGCTTTAGCTATACTTTGCAGTACAAAAGTTGTTCTTCAAGGTTAAAATAGAATTTTAAAGTAGAAATTAATCAATAGGATCCCAAGTGTCACACCAGGTGCCATAAAAAGCACCATTAACATAATTCTCACCAACAGTTTTCTGTAATAATTGAAATAGAATGATAGAATGGTTTGGGTTGGAAGGGACCTTAGAGATCATCTAGTTCCAACCCCCCTGCCATGGGCAGGGACACCCTCCACTAGCCCAGGTTGCTCAAAGCCTCATCCAGCCTGGCCTTGAACGCCTCCAGGGATGGGGCATCCACAGCTTCTCTGGGCAACCTGTGCCAGTGTCTCACCACCCTCACAGTGAAAAATTTCTTCCTAAACAGATAAATAAGTAAACAAAACAGAATTAATGTTTGATACCTGTACAAACTATGTGCGTTTTGCCAAACGCTGCACTTCTTAAAAGCACTATTCATTTTCCATTTCTGCTAACACTGTGGTATTCAATTCCCCAAGCAGTCTTAGTGAAACCCATGGAACTATTTATTGCGGAAGGTACTGCAATTAAGAGGGAAGAACTACTGTGAAAGAGTAAAGAGAGCAGAATTTAGTGTATTGCCAGCTTTTCTCTTTAAAACATGTAAATCTGAACAAATGCCACACTAATATATCTTTTTTCAATGGATTCCAGTACAGCTGAATTAAAAGTTTACATTCAATTACAGAGAAATTAAAAGACAAGCATTTTTTGCCAAATGCAGTCCCATAATTTCTAGATCCAGACCAGAAACACCAATATAAACAAGGGAATTAAACTCAGAATTCAAGAGCCTTTTTATAGGCAACTTTCTCCTTCACAATCTAAAGCCACATTTTAAAACAAAAACAAACCAAAAGCCCACAGCCAGCCAGTTCAGGTACTGCAGGTTACTGCCGAGCATCTCAGTGGACAGCACTCAGCCTCTGCAGGCCCATAAACACCAGACTGTCTGCCTGAAGACAACAAGCGTTTCGGAGGGTCCCATGCCCCCTGAAGGCAGGCCCTGGTTTGCATTTTGGATCATGACTGTTTTTCTCAAATTCATTATTTACAACAGCAAGGCCTCATACTCCACCCAAACTCAGAGATCAGTTTTTCTCTACAAAGGAGTCAAGAAAACGTTTGCAAAATGATCCCCCACCTCCCCTAGAGCATAAAAAGAAGCAGCATTTCACAAGAAGCATGTAAATTTGATCAAGAACAAGTAACATTTTGGGTTTCCCACTTGCCCTTTAACAAACACCAGCTAGACAAAGCCATCTATTACTAATAGATGAATAAGGAGAAAAATGAAAAGTTAAAAAAAAAACAAAACAAAACAAAACACCAAAAAACCCCTCAGAAAAACACCAACTAAAAATTAACTTTGCTCTGGTGGAGGAAGGTAAATGCCAGTTGGTGCATTTGCAGCGATTGCAGTGGGCGCAAGTGCTGCGTAGAGGAAGATGAGGATCCCACCCAGGGAAAACAAAACCCCAAACCTGCAGACTCTTCAGAAGCCCTTCCCACACCTCCACACTAGATGTCTAATTCCTCACGTTCATAAATTAACAGCTTAAAAATATGTTGGTTCCACTTCCTGGGCACTCCCCACCCTGTAAAAGTTTCTCTATAGATATGCCAACAGGTCAGATCTGCCATGAGTACAAACCATCCTGGGCACGTCAACTGGAAATGTAGCTGCAGTTATCACTGATAAAATAACTTCTAATCAAAGAGTAAGGAAGATGCCCCCACTGACTCACAGAGGTAGGTCTTTCTGTTTTCCTTTACCAGCTATTTGAGCCTTACTAATTGGGGTGGGTTAACCTTGGCTGGATGCCAGGAGCCCACCAGGCCCCCCCCGCCCCCGCCTGCCATTGGCTGTTCTGGGTTAAGGTGTGGT